ACCCTGCCAAGCCCACAACTGTTCCAACCCCCCCCCTGTACCCCCAGCCCATTACGACTGCAACTTCCCCTTGCAAACAAATGTAGGAAACGACTCGCCTTCCTATACCAAATCAAGTTGAATTTTTATCTTTGCTTGAAAAGACAGACAAGTAGAGCGCAGCAACATTATACCGCCTCGCCCCATTCATGCAGGTTATAACATAGCCTTGGGTGGCAGGCTTGGCATAGGGCCAGATGCCACCCATTGCAGGCTATAGCCACAGGACTGACATGTTCTATGGTAAATGACGCATCTCATTGAAAGCACAGGAGGATGAGGCCCATTATATGTAAAGACGCAGCACGCCAGCGGAGGGTAACCAGACTTTTATGCATCAACCAAACTCACCCGTTCACACCGATGTTAACCATGATGATAGTTGCCTGTAGTTTCTGCTTTGATAGAACAGAGAGCCATTAATTAATATGCATTTTACATTGAGATACAAAACCCATCACACAGCCAACGCACTGGCTGCACACATGGGCACTTAGGCTTAAACCACATGCCATGGGTAGTACAGCCACCACCCATCGACCTCCATGCAAACCCGCCCCCAACAAGGCCCATGCCCGGAGCACTCACCTGTTTCTCAAACTGTCCTGCTGCAGAGTGTTCGGATCACCACGGAGCCGCCTTATATACACCGCCCGCTGATCTCCCCGCCTACCAGCAGCCTCCCGCCAATCACCGGCCGCGGAATCAGCCTGTCACTCCTCAGCTCTGACATCTCCGGACCGGGCTACGTGCTACCGTACCACCGCGAGTAGACGCGCACCTTCCCTCTTCCCCGACCTTTTAGCTGGGTTCCCCATCTTTAATTACCGTATTAACTCAGGGGGGTTCTGTGCTGACTCCAGCTGTTCTATTACCCCCCAAATTACCCTTTACCCCCTAATATCATGCACTGAGCCCCCGGGTGTCACCTGCCTCCATCATTGCATTGCATCATCCCCATCTATTTCATCCACTTTGCACCATGCCCTTCCTCTCTCTACCCAAATGTAACATTTCCTGTGTTCTTGTCTTTCCTTCTCTTACATCAGCACAGTGCTGGGTTGATGGATTGATGGATGAATGGATGGATGGACAGCGCTGGACCCTGTCCAGTAGAATCGCACGTAATGACATCACATGCAGCTAACTGCCGGCGGCCATCTTGGTGATGGGCGCCAGCAAAAAGCGGAGGTTCATCTGGCAGGATAAGGTATGCCGCCGGGTCCCCTCCTCTCTCCTACAGCTGTCGGGCTCTCAGTCCATCACCGACTTTTCAGAGGGGGTGACACCAAAATGACTATCAGTTATTTTGGTGTCACCTGGTGCGGGCCGCACACCCCTTGTGACGGTGGGTGCAATGCTCAGGCTCCTGCAGTCTCTTCCTCCCTGCCCCAGGACCATATCACAGTTATGGAGCCCGGAGGAGGTCATCAAGTGTGGTGATGTCACTGCCCTTGTGCTCCATTGAGAACTGTGAGTCCCTCTGCCGCGGATGGGACCTGTGTTTTTTTTCAATCACGGATCCTGATGAAGTGGAGGTGTTAGGCCCCCCGAAACGCGTTGGAATTCTCATTTGCTCTCCTGTCTGACTTTATATTGGAATAGAACATATCCAAATGATTAACTTGTAGTGTGATGCTTCTATCTCAGCTCCATTGTTACGTCCGCCCCCCTCCCCCATGGCATCTTATATTTAATCTTATGTTTATCCCGTTCTCAGCTCCACCCATATTTTATTCTACTATACTGTATTATGACATATTATAGAATCCCCCCCAGTGCACTTTCAAGGTGTCCACATAGGCAGCAGCACTGCAATTGGGACTTGGGGCCACTCAGCTGTCCTGCATTGAGTTGTGTTGACCAGCAACATGCCGACAGGAGGGGAGAGCAGCGAGATGACCTAATCAGTCGTTTACTGGCCACTTTTAGGCTGGTGGAGGGGAGGTGACCAGGCTCTGTTGCTTAACTGCAGTAAGAAAAAGTCAGGTCACCGGACTAGCTGGACGGTCTGTCAGGGCTCCAGCTTTCAGGACCCGTTTACGTCTTTGTAGTGCATTCACGCATGTTATGTCAGGTGCGTTGTGGTAAGGCAGACTGTTCACAATGAATGGGCTGCCAATGCACCCCAGCGTGCCTAAAATTGCACATGACTCTTTATTGGTAGCGCAGCACACAGCATTACACTGCCGTGCATCGGGGCGCCATTCAAGTGACATCACTTCCTCACGACTTATAGATGGAGACAATCATTTTTACAGATGAAGCTGACATTGCGCTGCTGGCGTCTGATCACTGAGGGAGGTGAGGCTCAGGAAATTGACAGAAAGATGGGTGTATCTGCTTTATTGTCCAATCACAGTCCGGGGGCGGGCCCGTGACAGCCTGGACTGAGAAGAAGTGATTGGAACGACGCTGGCTGTCATTCAACCAGAAGGACATCTAGTGGTGGAAGAGAAGCACTGCAGGGGGGACACAGCTCCTGAGGGGAGTGTTGCAGATGAAGCCGCTCTATTGTTTTATCTTTTTTTGGGCTCTTCACTTTTCTTCTTTCACTTTTTTTTGGGCTGGAATTCTTATTTATTGAGCTTTCCCGAGATAATGATACAGCCGCCGCCGTCGTTGTATAGTGTGACATTCTGCTATGTATCACTGTCCTTGTTCAGGTTCTTCAGGTGGAATAATGGAGGTTGAAGCGTCTTTTTCATCAGTGACACGAGTGATTTCATTACCTCTGGAGGTGATTTCCTGAATCTCTGGAGTGCCGCGTGTAGCTGAGTGCGGGGACATTCGTATCATGAAGACGGAACAGGAAGTAATGTGGAAAGGAATGTGACAACAACTGAAGACACATGACGGAGAGGAGTGAGCCGCACACACAAGACGTACCGAGTAACTAGCTCAATGTCAGCTGACACAAGACTAACTAACTAACAGGATGAATTACACAGAGGAGGGGACCTGGACACTCAGCTTGTTAAATCTGACCTCCATCCTTCCCTTCAGTCTTCTATCCAACCTCCGGCCTCCCCTTCAGTCTTCTATCTGACCTCCATCCTTGCCTTCAGTCTTCTATCCAACCTCCGGCCTCCCCTTCAGTCTTCTATCTGACCTCCGACCTCCCCTTCAGTCTTCTATCCGACCTCCGGCCTCCCCTTCAGTCTTATAGCCAACCTCCGTCCTCCCCTTCAGTCTTATATCCAACCTACGGCCTCCCCTTCAGTCTTCTATCTGACCTCCATCCTTGCCTTCAGTCTTCTATCCAACCTCCGGCCTCCCCTTCAGTCTTCTATCTGACCTCCGACCTCCCCTTCAGTCTTCTATCCGACCTCCGGCCTCCCCTTCAGTCTTATAGCCAACCTCCGGCCTCCCCTTCAGTCTTCTATCTGACCTCCGACCTCCCCTTCAGTCTTCTATCCGACCTCCGGCCTCCCCTTCAGTCTTATAGCCAACCTCCGGCCTCCCCTTCAGTCTTCTATCTGACCTCCGACCTCCCCTTCAGTCTTCTATCCGACCTCCGGCCTCCCCTTCAGTCTTATATCCAACCTCGGGCCTCCCCTTCAGTCTTATATCCAACCTCCCGCCCCCCCCTTCAGTCTTATATCCAACCTCCGGCCTCCCCTTCAGTCTTATAGCCCACCTCCGGCCTCCCCTTCAGTCTTATAGCCAACCTCCGGCCTCCCCTTTAGTCTTATAGCCAACCTCCGGCCTCCCCTTTAGTCTTATAGCCAACCTCCGGCCTCCCCTTCAGTCTTATATCCGACCTCCGGCCTCCCCTTCAGTCTTATATCCAACCTCCGGCCTCCCCTTCAGTCTTATATCCAACCTCCCCTTCAGTCTTATAGCCAACCTCCGGCCTCCCCTTCAGTCTTATAGCCAACCTCCGGCCTCCCCTTTAGTCTTATAGCCAACCTCCGGCCTCCCCTTCAGTCTTATATCCAACCTACGACCTCCCCTTCAGTCTTCTATCTGACCTCTGGCCTCCCCTTCAGTCTTCTATCCGACCTCCGGCCTTCCCTTCAGTCTTCTATCCGGCCTCCCCTTCAGTCTTATATCCAACCTCGGGCCTCCCCTTCAGTCTTATATCCAACCTCCCCTTCAGTCTTATATCCAACCTCCCCTTCAGTCTTATAGCCAACCTCCGGCCTCCCCTTCAGTCTTATAGCCAACCTCCGGCCTCCCCTTTAGTCTTATAGCCAACCTCCGGCCTCCCCTTCAGTCTTCTATCCGGCCTCCCCTTCGGTCTTATATCCAAACCTCGGGCCTCCCCTTCAGTCTTATATTCAACCTCGGGCCTCCACTTCAGTCTTATATCCAACCTCCCGCCTCCCCTTCAGTCTTATATCCAACCTCCGGGCTCCCCTTCAGTCTTATAGCCAACCTCCGGCCTCCCCTTCAGTCTTATAGCCAACCTCCGGCCTCCCCTTCAGTCTTATAGCCAACCTCCGGCCTCCCCTTCAGTCTTATAGCCAACCTCCGGCCTCCCCTGTCTTCTATCTGACCTCCGGCCTCCCCTTCAGTCTTATATCCAACCTGCGGCCACCCCTTCAGTCTTGTACAGTTGTACCGGCTCCTCTCCTGGACTGACATTGCTTCCTCGCATTTTATACCATACCCCTAGATAAATGCAAGCAGCTGACCCTTGAAGTACAGTTGTCGCCCCACTGCAAGGGAAGTTTTTTCCTCCTTTTATGTCCCACTTGGGAGATTTCCCTTCACTTCCTGTCCTGTAGACACAACAGGAAGTAAGAGGGAAATCCCCTCTTAGACAGCTGTCACCGGAATCAGTGTCCCCTTTAAACATTTCTGTTCCTGCTCCCCAACATAACCCGTTCTTCATGGAGGAAATAATCTGCGCGGCTTCCGACTTCTCTTCCTGGCCATGCAAACTGGTCAGACCTCACGGGCTGAGGTCAGGGTGATGACAGAGTGTGTTTGCAGCATCCGTTTCCTGTGTGTTGTCACATAAGAGCTTGAAAGGTTCTCCGTGTCAGTCTTTGGTGATGCACTCCAGATAATAATAATGGAGGTCGCCGTGTGCGGTGCACAGGCCGGAGTCACACCTTCGCTGTGTGTTACTGCAATCAATGTGTATTATTATATTCCCAATCTTGTGATCTTTTACCCCCCC